AGAAATCTTCTGTATATAGAACTATGTTAAGACAGGTGATACTATAGATATAAGTAAGAAACGAACAGAAAAATATATTTTCATCTCATGTAAGGTCTGTAGTTAATTTTAAAATACTTTTTATATAATTAGGCTTTTCAAACTCTTTATACTTTAAGATAGAGGAAATAATTTAAGGGTATGTGCTGTTCTACTGCAGAAATAGCTGTGCGTATATCGTAGTTTATCTTTGTATTGCTGATTATTTTCATCTTGATCTAGGAAAAAGTAATAATGAGAACTTTTTATAGCATGCTGATCACCAGCAACATGGATGTTTCTGCATATGTATTAATGTCTGGCTCTGGAATGGAAGATTTGGATTGAGGGACAGACTTACAAGGTGGATGAGTTCTGGCCCGTGAAAAACATACGCAGTGTTTTGGTTAGTTTCATGTAAATGAGGAAAGGACGTTAGATGCTGGTTGATCTCTACCAATTTGTGGATTTATATAATAGACTGGATGACAGTAACGAAGATTTTTTTTTTTTTCCCCTTCTTTTCTCTCGTGTGAGGTGAGATTAGAAGTCAGATTAAGTTGACTACTGTTATGGCTCATTTAAACAACGGAATAGACCTTTAAGGAATTATTACTTTGATACAAAAGAAAACACGTGGATAGAGTTGGTCAGGAAGATTTTTAGAGAAAGAAATGAGGTGCTTTAAGGCTTAGCTTTGAGGTTTACCACTAGTATAGCACTTGTCACAACTCAAATTCAGATCTCGGCCTCTTTGTCTTAAAAGTTTTGGAGTGTTACAGTGACAGCGTTTAACACGAGGGTGGACAGGAGTATTGTCTGGCTCTTCAGTCATAGTTCCTCATGGAAGTGATAGTGTGATGCGTTTTCAGGAGTGTTGCACTTAGAATCATTTCACAGACTCCCTACCATGAGCAAGATTCTGGGAAAAAAGGATTATATTGTGAGGTGTGGAAAGACATACATATTTTTATTGGTTTAAAGTGCAAATAGTATGTTTAAGTACTGGGAATGCATATGCAAAATTTATTTTCTGAGGCACTCATAAAAGAATAGGCTGCAATATGAGTATCCTTTCTGTACTGACACATTATAAGTTTCTTAGACACTTCTTGAGGGTTTAACTTGTATATGTAAACGTATTTTTAAATTGTATGTGTAAACATTTATTTATCTTTAGGAAAGAGTTGACTGAGGCACAGAGAACAAACAAACCTTGTGGAAAGTGCCACTACTATCTTCTTATCAGCAAGACCTTTACAGAAGCCACAAAGAGCAATTCTAAGAAGAGGGAAGGGAGAAATCAGCAAAAGGACGAATTGATGTTTGCAAATGCAGAGGAAGAATTCTTTCATGAGGTAACATATGTGATTCTTTTAATTTAAAATATTTATTTTTCTTTACCTATCAGCAAGAAAAGGTATTTCACCTTAAAATCAAGGAGGACTTTTCAAAAGATATGGTCACATATCTTTTAAACTAAATCCAGCTTTTTTGAGAGTCATGTTGAGAGATGAGCAAGCAACCTGGTTTTGTGTATTGAACACAACACCTTTTGTATTTAGAGAATCATGGAGAGGTGTGCCATCCGTAAGTCCAAATTATTAAATTAATCCTTTGTATTGGCATTAGTTTACTGATATGTTATTTGTATCAGGCCACAATTAACCTGACTATAAGATAGAATCATAGAACACTTATAGAATCATTATGGTTGGAAGAGACCTCGAAGATCATCAAGTCCAACCGTATACCCAATGCCACCATGCTCGCTAAACCGACTAAACCATGTCTCGAAGCACCACATCTAAACATTTTTTGAACACCTCCAGGGATGGTGACTCCACCACCTCCCTGGGGAGCCCATTCCAATGCCTAACGAGTCTTACAGTGAAGAAGTTCTTCCTAATATCCAACCTGAACCTCCCGTGGCGCAACTTGAGACCGTTTCCTCTTGTCCTATCTGTCTTATGGCATAGACTGCTACCTGATGGGGTCTCCAGTGCTATGAGGATAATTCAAAGAGGAGTGCTATGAGGAAAAATTCAAAGAATACCTGAAATAAGGAGAGACTTTGAGGAAAGGTCAGGTGTTACTTTGTCTTGAAGCCAGTGTCTTGGCCTCAAAGAATTAACAAACTTCATCTCTTTACTTACATAGGAATGTTGAAGAGATTGAATTGAATGTAATAATTGTCAGCCTTGTTGAAATAGTGTGAATGGAACATCTACATTTTTAGGACAAACAAATGGTAATACGTCTGAATACTGAATTTAGCAACATGTCCCAGGCTTTCTGAGGTTACAAAAGTTTGAAATTCGTTTTGTTTGGGGAACAGTTAAATTGTCTTCTTTAATCTGAATAATAAGAAATGTGAAAGACTTGTTAAATTGCTGTGTCAGCTGAACAGAGAAGACTGACTGTGGGTGTGTGGATTCCAGGAAGTGCAAGTGACCTTGAATATGTCAGTGAGATTCAAGCTAACATGATTTACATCCCAGGTCTTCAAGAGTGGCAGCTCAAACAACAGGTCATAACTTGCAAGGGCACTCTAACTTAATCATGTGTCACAGCTTTAAGCACTTAGAAGAATAAAGATTCAAAAAAAATGCAGAGGAATCTCTGTTCTTAGAGTCCCGATCAGCATCTGCAATGCGTGTTAGTACTTAAATACACAGATCTCTTTTCCTTGCCCCTACATAGTTAGTCCTGTGTCAGAAAAAAAACAGCTGTTGAGGCTTTATTTAAATTTGGTAATGCATTTAAATGCATTTCTCTGAGATCTCTTCCCCAGAAACTTAACAGATGCAAAACTCTGTGTCATTGTTGGTATTACGTGGAAAGCTAATTTCATTATTTCCTTTTGGATACCTGTTACTTTCAAAAAATGCTCAGAATAAAAAACTTTTGAAGATCCAAACAAGTAGCTGTCACTTCCCTTTTCTGTCTCTATTCTACTTGGGACAAGTCAATTAATAAACAGTGCTAAAATAGTGAGAGGAAAATATTACTTCCTGTTTTCTAAGGCAACCTGTCTACACAATTCTGCTGGTGTCAAGCCTGATCAGACATGGGGAAGATGCAGGAAATTAAATTAAAAATCTACTTTGAAATGCAAAGAATTTTTTATTGTTCTTTATTTTTTTTCAAAACTTTAAAAATATTATTCTACAGTGTTATCGCTTTGTCAAGAGAACATTATTTTTCATTTCTGACAGTGCCTGCAGGATAAAGTACTTGAACATGCATCATATGGTTAATGGTAAAGTTTCCTATGTGTAATCATTCATGACATTCTCTGTTAGAGGCTATGATATGGCTGTAATTTTATTTCTTGGGAAGAAGAAAAATGTAAGTGGGTGAATTCATTGTCAGCTATAGGGAATACTGTTGTGGCCTCTATGCAGCAATGAGTTTCGAATTTTCTTTTTGTGTTCCTGCCACAGCAGCTTTATCAACTGAACATGAACTCTATGTAAACATGTTATTGAAAAACTGAAGGGGAGAAGCCGGTGATGCCCATGTGTCCACAGATGTTATGTTCTAGAAGGCCTATTTTGTATTTATCTCTGCTTTGTTATTTTGAGTGGCATTTTAAAGACTAATTGTGTGCTTTTATCTAAATTGCAGTAATTTTCAGCTCAAGTGGATAGATTCAAACTGAACATGCTTTTCTTTTTAACAGTCTTTCTAGTGTTTTTAACAAATTCATTTTAAACATTATAGAGGCTATTAGATTAAGTGGGTCTCTGTACTTAATAGTGTATATGTCTTAAATTAGTGTTGGAGTGTATATCCTCCCTGATCGCACATAACGTTAATTAGATTGCTATAAAATAGTATTAAATGTGATGAGGCAGACACTTCGAGCCATATAAAACAGAGAGAAGCCTTTTTCCACTTGTCAGTTCTCTGTGCTTTATTCCGTTCCTTAAAATGTTGTTAAGGGAGCAGAAAAAAAGCTGTACTATAACCAGACTTGGAATTGATTAAAGATTTAGGACCTCCGTCACTCAAATTGTGTGTTCTTGAGCAAAGCCACTCAATTAATGTGATGGTTCTTCCAAAATCAAATTTACAGCCTTGAGATACTGTTCGTAAATAGCAAAGCTAGAAGGAGATTGGATCTTAACTTTTGCTGCAAAGGGAAGATTTTAGGTAAGTTTTTGTACTTAGGAGTTCAGTTCGTACTTCTTAATCTGACTTGTGTGAGAACTAGAAACATTTGTCAGGTAAGTTTTTCTTATCCATCAGGCATTTTGTCTAGGAAAGCTAATAAAAAGGGACTATTCTATCTGTATGCAGTATATATCACTGAAAAGAAATAATACACATTATGGACACCTGCCTATTTGAAGAAGCATCCTTTACGAGTATGTCTTTCAGCAGCTGCAGCCAAGAGCTTTTTGAAATTCTGCTCAGGATTCATATTGGTGCCCATCCCTTAATATTTAATTTCTGCTGGCATTGTGAAAGAGGAAATTACTGTACCACGTATTCTTATAGATACATTAATTTTTAGGACCCTGAGCGGTTTAGCAGTAGGCCATGAAAAGAGCAGAGCCTGTTCGTTGCTACAGGCCTTCCACGTGTTGCCCACACCAAGCTATCATCTTCAGTGCAGGCTCTCTTCTACCTGCAGTCTCTCACTCTTCCTTTTATCTGGGTTTTGGCTGATATGCTGGTTCTCAAAATTACACTGCTAGTGATTTGCTTTTGTTCCAGGATTGAAGGTCTATTAAGAGCTTGGTATTCTTGTTATTGGTCAAGGATCCCTGGCACAATAGCTTCTCAGGGTTGGTATTTCTTACTGTGATAATATGGAATGAGATGCTGTCTTGAAACCATCTAAAATGAGGCACAGTAAGCATATAAAGGGGGCATTGATTCCCCCCCCCCGCCCGGCGGTCTTTTTTTCTGATACAAAACTATAATGATAGCAATAATTTTAGAATTTAATATGAATTATATAAATTCTGTGAAAAGGAAATAGTTAGAAACACTTAATAGTAGATTCTCTTGTAGATTGTTTTGACAGACCTTTTGAAAGAGAAGAAATAACTTCTTAATAAGCATGTGCATAATGGAGTCATTATTTTTAGTTTGTTTAGATGATGTATTATCTTCATGCTGATTTAAAAATTTTAATCCTAATGCTTTTATTTCTATTGTTTAGAAAGCCCTTCTGAAGTTCAACTACTCTGTGCAAGAGGAAAGTGACACCTGTTTGGGCGGCAGATGGTCCTTTGATGATGTACCAATGAAACCTTTGCGGACTGTTATGATAGTTCCAGCTGATGGAATTAATGTAATTATGGATAAACTCAAAGACTATCTCTCAGTCTGAACTTTCCTATAAATCTGTTGGGTTTTTTTTATAAAGCAGCCATGCAGAACTATGACTTCATGATATTTTCAGAAGACTCTGACTGAGTTAACGGTTTTGTACTGCTCAGATGCTTCCTCTGTACACTTAGAAAACAAGTAGGTGATACAACTAAAAATATCCATCAAATTAATATTTTTAAATATTGTATCTTATTATACTTTGGTATCATCATTAAGCAGTCAATAAAAACCCAATGTTACGAGAAAACTTGGAAGATCTGCTCGAATATGATTTAATTTTGGTTAAAAACATATTTTTGTTACGAAATAATGCATACAACTCCTTTTGTTAAGGAAAGTGCTGTTTCTTTGTGTTTCTTCTGTTAAATACATTTATGTCAAAAGTTTGAAATAATTACATGGGATAAGACAGGGATGTATATTGCTTTTATTTGTATTTGTCCAATATATGATAGTTCAGTCTAAAATCACTGAATAATACATCTTTGTTCAGTGGGAGTTTCGGGAAATTTTTCATTTTCTTTGTTGTCATTGTTAGTTTTCTGTTCCTCCTTCATGGTTGAAACAGGTGACAAGTGATTGATCACTTCCTGCAGAATATCCTTACTTTCACTGGGAGGAAGATTGCTAAAATAATACTGAGGTACCAGCTCCATGAATCTGGTGAGGAAGTAAGACAAAACATTATTATTTTTTTAATTGAATTTTGAAATGTTAGATTAACTATTTCCAGGCTTGTACAAAAGACATCAGCAACATGCTGATGCACACAGCTGCAAAGTTTGTATTTCAACTCAAAACCAAAACTTTCTGCAAGACGTAGTAATAGTTTGTGCTTTCAGTGGACTTGCACTTAATGTGCTCAGTCTACGCCTCAGGTTGGTGATTGTCATTCAGTTCTCAGTGCTGCAGATTCACAGAATCACAGAATTAACTTGGTTGGAAGAGACCTTCTGGGATCATCGAGTCCAACCTTTGCCCTAACACCACCGTGTCAACTAGACCATGGCACTAAGGGCCACGTCCAGTCTTTTCTTAGACGCCTCCAGGGATGGTGACTCCACCACCTCCCTGGGCAGCCCATTCCAATGCCTAAAAAAATTGCATTAAATAATGATTTATTTTTTTTCTGATTTTGAACATATTTTTGGTTCAATAAAATTATGAAAAAGGCTTTCTTATAAACATTGGAAATAGAAAAGATAGGACAGCGGAATGTATATTCTCAGTTTGCAGAAGGAAGACTGTCGTCTTTTCTTGAATCCATAAACAGTTGATACGGGATGATTTAGCTGGCTGGGTACATAAAACATGTCACGAAAAAGATTTGCTGGAAAAGAGCTTTTCAAGGAACAAATAAATTTCCAGCTAGATTAATCTATGGGCACACTGTTGTGGTAACTCTTCCTTGATTTTTTTTTTTTTTTTTTCTGTATATTTTCCTTTGTAAGAAACTTTTGCAAACTGTAAGGTGTTTTTTCAGTGGATGAATTGATTACAGTGGCAGACATTGAGACTTAATTCAGTGCCCAAACAGATCAGCACACGTTAGGAAATACAAAAGGCTGACTTAAATGATGTTTTGTTTTGCATGAAGAGAACAGTAAGGGTGTGAGATCACAGTTCTTTCCCTTTTTTAATAGTTCTGAGCTCTAATGCAGTGAGTGTTCTGAGTAAAAATGACATCAAGCAAAGCTACACACGATGACAGAACAATACTGGCTACAAAGAAGGGAGAAGATGCCTGGAGTTGAATTCTTCAAGCATTGCTCTCAATGCACAACACATTCTGACTGTTTGTGACTTAAGTTACGCTTTTGTGGTAGAGGGGTGACTGAAGAAACAGTTCCATCGTTGTTAACTTACAGATCAGGTGATATCTCTGAGACGACTCTGATGGAGTTGTCTTCTGATATACTAAACTCATGGAATAAAACCCACTCAGGAATCCTTCTGGTGTTATGATATGATGAGAAAGGATGAAGCTGGGCCACTTGTCTGTGTGTTAACATTAAGTAATTACCCGAGCCATCTACATCACGAGCAATCTAAGAAAAAAAATGCAGAGGGTTACCGGTTACTTAATGGAATGTGCAAGATCCATAGATCAGTGTCTAGTATATTAAACCCAGGAATTAAACTTGCATTCACATACTTTGAAGTGGAGATCCTAAACCTCTTCCCAAATTTCTGTGGGAAAGCTAGGGACTGGATACTATGAAATGAGACCTAGGGTTAAAGAAAATATTGATCTATATATTTGAAAGGAAACTGTCTGCAGCAAATGAGAGCAGGCTTACACAGCAAGTATCTGAACTTGGCTTTGAAGGGTGCATGTGAAATCGGATGTATTCTTAAAGAATTGTAATACTTTAAAATACAATGTGTGGCAGGGCACTTGAAGTAGTATAATTTGGAAGGGTCAGTCTTGTATTTAGGGGGAGCATGGTGATGTGAAGGAAAGCATGTTTTCAAGTGGGAATAAATTAATCCTTCTTGCTTACGTTTACAATTAAGAGTACCTCATTTGGTCGAGATGAAGAAAGCTGTGTATTATATATACCTAAACATATTCAACAAGTCAGTTCTCTGTTTCCAGGGTATTTTCACATAAACATCTTCAAAAAGGAAATAATGTCTGAGAGAATATTACAAGTTAAAGAGATTTTTGAGGTAAAAGAGTTCTGTGAGTGAAAGACATTGACAGTTTTCCTCTTGGAGTGAAGTGTGTGGCCTTCATGCTGTGATAGCTGTACCCCAGAGAGAAGATTGGCATTGGCAGAAGTGTTTGATATGCTGTGGGAAAAATGGCTTTTACCCTTTCTGATGATGAAGAGATTGCACTGCTTAATTTAAGTTCTCTGAAGCATTCTATGTAACTTAACAATGTAGTAAGATGAAGCCACAATATTTTTCCTTACGTGCATAAAGTAACCAGATAAGAGAGATTTCTTAATGCTTAGTATATTTTCTTTTGATCCAAAGTCCGGTTCTGAAATGGGAAGTTCAATACGCTTCATAATCTCTACAAGTTCAGCTCTGATAATTTCTGCCATCCTCAGTGCAGAACAGCTTAGAAAATAATCACGGCACCATTTCTCATTACTGTAGTCTGTGGAGGGAAAAAACAGTATTTTGACTTAAAGCAAAGTCTTACTGATAGGCACTATCCACAGAGATACTGCTCTGTGAAATGTTCTTTGACTGGTGCAATAGATTAAAAACATTTTAGAGTGATTAGCTGTGTCAGAGCTGCCCAAAATTCTGATAACAAGAGCCATATGGACAACTTAGGCTCATTGATGTTCCCTGTAAAGCAAGTGGGCAATACTTGATATCCTTACTTAGTTTTGTAGAATTTTAGCCATATCTTTCTGAATAAAAATTTGCAAAATCCCTTATTTGTTCTGTAAAAATAATAGCTTCAAATAGAATGAGTAGCAACTCTATTTTCAGCCTTTCTGGATTCAAGCCAAGATATGGAACTGAGATAATGTCTGTAGTGCTGGTGATGATCCTGCCTGCTGGTAAAGGACAAGTTCTTTTGGACCTCTCTTCAACATTCAGCATGACTGAATGTCGAACAATCCTACTGTCCTGTCCTAAGGTTTTACTTAGTATATGCAAATTTAACACTCCCCTGTCTTAAGCACTGGACTCAGGCTAAACGAACTTGAGCAAGATGTTTGAGCACAGTAAAATGCTGTGAAGAACTTCTGTCTACTGTGCAGTCCCCTGGCTTTTATTTGGTTTCCTGTAAATGTGAACTTTACTACTTTCAATTTTTTCCCTTAAACTTTCCTTTTAGTTGACAGCTATCAGAAAGACACCAGAATAGTTAGGCTGCTGGGAGAATCAAGTCCCTCCTCAACTGTGTTTATGTCATTTCACATCTTAAACCGGCCTTATATGCTCTTACAAGAGGAACCATCATTCTGTTTTCATACAATATCACTTCAAATGACAACTGTAATAGTGCTTATATATTCTTGTTGAATGAGATACTCTGTCCTAGGTCATTTTCAATTAGTTAATAAACTCAAACTAATGTTCGTTTGCCATGGCTACTATCTTAGATTTCTCTCTGCAAATTAGCAATTCTAAAAGGAACAATTCAAAAAGGGTTTATAAACAAAATGCTAACAATAACACTTCAGATTTTTTGTTTTGTTTTTTTCCAACTTGGTTACGATGTGCTTCATTTTGTCTGGTATGGGTACACTTACATTGGCTTGCGGAGTTTGCACTGACTTCCTTGAAGGCGTTGAAGACATTGATAAGAGTAAAATGATCTCCTGCAGGGTGTGAGAATTTTCGCCAGCAAGTAAGAGCAATCTCTTCTGTTCCAGGAGGTGCGTGTAAGAAGCAATTGGGAGCTTAGAAAAAAATCAAGCTAGTGGTTATTAAGACACGTAGGTGCATGAACAAATAGTAAGTCCACCGGTATTTTTGGTTTTTTCCTTCCTCAGTTCCCTTTAATCTTCAGTGTTGAATTGCTGCTGAAGAACTGAATCTATTGCATTCACTAGGGTTTTATTTATGTTGATGTTCTTTCAATCTCTTGTTTAGTTAATTTGTGCTGTAAACACAAAAGAAGGTGAGCAGCTTTCTCCTAGACTGATGCCAAAAATGCTTCATAATGGCATGATCCAACTTATCCAGAGTCCAAGCATATGGTTTCTTTAATATAGAAAGAAACTAACGCTATGGATGTGTTGCCTTAATCTGCTCCTATATGTTGAAATTTGTGCCTTCTAGTGCATTTTACTTCTGTTGTGGTACAGTGCTACGTAATTGTGTCTTTCGAGAAGGCTGAGCTTTTTAAAAACTAAAGTGTGCCTATGCTCAATTGTTTACGTTTGTTGTATGTACTTAAACAATTTATCACAAGTTTAGGCCCACTATTAAAATTCAAGTCAGCTCAGACATAAAACCAAGTTGTTCTATAAGGAGAGCAACTAATGCAGCTTGGTGTCCTGTGGATTTATGTCCTTGCTG